AAGAAAGAAAGAAAGAAAGAAAGAAAGAAAGAAAGAAAGAAAGAAAGGTTAAAACACCAATTCTTTTTGAGCCAGCAATAGGCCTACTTTGGGGGGGCTTACTGCAAAATCCCACCCCCCCTTGCTCTGCCCCACAGAGGCAACGATCCTTGGCTGAGAAATGAACAGATTGCTGGCCATTGTGACCGGGGAGTGTGTGCGCGCGTTTGAATGTGTGCGCAGCGCAGGCCTTCACCCGTTGGCGATATCTTGCAAACGACGGCGATGTGACTTTCCTCTTATTTAAAGGTAGCAGACAAAAAGGGGCTCGCCGATTGGCTGGCGGTGATGTCATGCCAGAAGAATAGAAGGATATTAATTTGCTGGGGTTTTCTTTTATGCGTACAGGCACCACACACCGACACAGCACACCCGGCACACACAGAGGGGTTGTTCACTTCTGGAGAAGGAAGGAACCCCCTGCAGTCCTGCTTTCCCCCATTCAGCAAGGGAAGGGATTGGCCCTCCCCCGCCCCCGACTCAGTTTGCAGCTCCTGAGGGCATGATATGCACCCTGGCACATACACACACCGCCTTTTGCAGGTTTTCAACAGGAGGGAAAGAGGCAGACCTGTGATTTCGGGGCTCAGGGTAACTTGCATCAAGCAGCCCCCCCACCCCCGGGCATTGGGGAGGGAGGGTAGAGAAATAATAGCTTTTTGCCTGTTGCAAAGTTTTCTAAAGCTGCTACCCTCTTCTCGCTCGACAGAAGAACAGAGTTGGAAGGGACCTTGGAGGTCTTCTAGTCCAACCCCTGGCTCAAACAGGAAACCCTTCACCCAAATGGTTATCCAATCTCTTTAAAAAAAAATAAAAAACCTCCAGTGATGGACCACCCACAATTTCCGGTCCAAGTCGTTCTGCTGATTCGTTTTTCTCACTGTTAAGAAATTTCCTCCTTGGATTGCTAGATTGGTTCTCTCCTTGATGAGTTTCCATCGGTTGCTTCTTTTTTTTTTTTTGCAATTTTTTATTTTATGTTTTGACAACAAACATGAACATAAAACAAATAAAACCTTCTTTCAATTGTACAGCGTGTTGGTTGATACATATTTCTTGTGCACAATATCTACGGTCTTTCCCACAGGTTTCAATTTATGTTAAAATTATATTAATCAACTTCCCGTGTCACGTCATGTTATTATTACATCATCTTTAGACTTTAATTGTAAGCAGGGGTGGGATTCTCCCAGTTCACACCAATTCGCTAAAACCGGTTGTTAATATTCTAAGCAGTTGGGAGAACTGGTTGTTAGAAGAAATTGCAGGGCTAATCCTGTATGGAAGGCAGGAAGGAAACATTCTGGTGTCGCTTACAGAAACGGCCTCTCCGTTAACCCTTATTACATTCTTGGCAGGACTAGACTTCCTGTCTCAGGAACTTCTCTGGAGTTTTTTTCCACTCCTTTGCTGGTACTTTGCTTGTGTGGAGTGACCATTCAAAGTTACAATGACCCTGAAAAAAGTGACTTATGACCCTTTTTCACACTTACGACTGTTGCAGCATCCCCACAGTCATGAAAGGCCAGGTGAGGAGATGCGTGCCTCGATGTGAGTAATATTGAGTTGGCCATGACCAGGCAATAACATGACCACCTAGCCATGTCCACCCAGTTACATGACCACCAAGCCACACCCAACCAACTAAGCCATGCCCACAGAACCGGTTGTTAAAAAATTTGAATGCCACCCCTGCCTGCAAGGTCCTTTCCAACTCTATTATTCTGTGTTCCATGTTTTAACCACCAGCCCCCTCATCCTCCTGGTTGCTCTTCTCTGCCCTCTTTCCAGAGTCTCAACATCCTTTTTACTTCGTGGTGACCCAAACTGGATGCCAACTGAAGGCATTATATTTATCTGAGAGTAAGTCCCATTGAACTCAATGGCCTTTATACTTTGCTGTAAAGGTTGGTATAAGATCAAAGTGCCCTTCGCACAAGCACGTATGTGCATGCATGTTTGCTTGTGACGGTGCATGGGCAGCCAAATTTCTCTGGCACAATCTTTTCCCCCCTGCAGTTGGGTAGGAGCTCCCCATGGAAGGAGATTTTGACAGCTTGTCTAACTGTCAGTAACTTGAAACCATGAATTGAATTTGCCCAGGAATGGAGTCCTTGGTCGTCCTTGAGTGATTTATGGTAAATTGTTTGCAAATCTTGCTTATCTCAAGTAGTTAGACCCCGAGTGGAAGATAGTACTGTGCAAAGCTTGAGTCTTGATATTGAGCAACACAATAAGGTCATTTCTTTCTCTGCACTGAATAAGGGCTACATATCAAATCAGGGGGTTTCAAATCATTTTAGTAAGTCGGTGAAATTTGAGTGCATATGTGCTTTTCTCCTTCTGGGTCTCCTTTAATTTGGGCAGAGGTACTACTTGGCATATAAAATCTCCTCCTCCTCCCTCCTCCATCTCCACTCCTCCTCCTCCATTCCTCCTCCTCCATTCCTCCTCCTCTTCCTTCTTCACTTTTTCTCTTCCACCTCCACTCTGCCTCTGCCTCTTCTACCTACTTCTCTTCTCCTTCTCCTGTTCCCCTTCCTTCTCCTTCACTTCTTCTCTTCATCCCCCTCCACTTTTCCACCTCCTCCACCTCCTCCTTTCCTCCTCCTCCACTGCTCCTCCTCTTCCTCTTCCTTACCTTCACTCCTTCTCCTCCACCACCTCCATTCCTCCTCCACTCCTCTTCCACCCCTCCGTCTCCTTCTTCTCTGTCTCCTCTTTCCCTCCTCCTCCTCCTCCTCCTCCTCCTCCTCCTCCTTCCCCAGCAAGAGTTCCACAAATCAGGATATGCAAACGTTTCTCAGACTAATATAGTTTCAGGGAATTGTTATATGAATAGGTAGTTTTAATCTTCCATTGTCCCTGATACGGTCTGGGGCAGAGACGGCCAACTCGCCATGGAATAACTCGCCATGGGGCAATTCAACAATTTAATTTAATTATTTAAAATAATTAAAAGATCATTTTAATTTTTGTCATTCTCATTTCATTTTGTGCCTTTGCATCCTTTCTTTAATGATTCTAATCCACCCTTTATCTATCTATCTATCTATCTATCTATCTATCTATCTATCTATCTAT